GCTCTTTCGTTTCTCCTACCGTCTGCGGTCTCTCCCATGCGGAAACTATCTTGCCCGGACGCAACTGCGTCCAGTTTACGTATCAAGAATCGACGATTCAAATTTGTTATTAACTGCATTTTCATGAGTTTTTGACCATCAACATTTTCATTTTGACTCGAGTAAAAAAGAGACTGGACAACCCCTGCAATCATCTAATATATCTCCTTCAAATTCCAGAGTACTTCTAGAACGTTGTAAAACCAACTAGCGATTTAAAAGGAGTGTGACTGAATGAAATAATTGGCGTCCCTTTCTGAACTCTTCGTTGGACCGTCTGCATCAGGCCCTGGAGCAGCACTAGTTGGTTCAACAGCTGTACCAACGCCGCCTCCTGACAATAAACCATTTTCGGGAACGCATATGAAGGTGAGCTTAGATAGCAGTTTTGGATGCAACAAATGGGACAAGGAATGCGCGGTGGAATGGGTGGACCGATGGGAGCGTCAAATATGTATATGCAGTAACACCAACAAGAAACAGCAGCAGATGGGAATGATGGGACAGATGCGACCCGGACAACATCCGAGCGGCACCGATGCCTGGACCTGGCGGCCGGGAAGCTGCTGGACAACCTCCTCCACCATACCATCATCGGTGGGTGGTTTATAGACGCACTCCTGTGCAAAGAGTTGAATTTTGTACTTCTAGCGCTCCAACACCAATGGCTGGTTTTAACAGGAACCCACCTATGATGCAGCAAGGAATGCAGATGAACCCCGGCATGGGACAGATGAGAGGACGTAAGTACTCTGTTTTGTACGATCATGTGTGTCACTGCACACCCTGTCACCTTTGGAGTCCAATCCTGGAATTGCAATCGCAAAAATGCGGGAGACCAACCGATTTTTATCGCTTACTTCAGTTTGTGAACACTGGTACCTAAAAAAGAGAAAAACATCTCACCGAGCAGGAGGGCTGCCTGCTCCTGGAATCTAGGATGAGGAGGCCAAAAGTGGACGGTGTGTGCAGTGACACGCATGATCATATGAAATGACTCGAC